ACAAAAAGGATTACCGAATGTACCCTGCTTATAAAACACTACAAAAAATATATCTCTACTGAAGGCTATCTGAGTGTTATCAGTATTTTAAACTTTGAGACCTTTGACACACTTTTAGTTTCTCAAATAAATTTTAGTGATTTATTACAATCAGTTTATCAATGCTAGAATTTATCTGTGATTGTCATCTGTTTATACATAGTCTCGAAAAATGTCATAAATTTCTGTTTAATTACTACCAAAGAAAATAATCAAAGAATCTGAGAATTTGTTGCTTTCTATTTGCTAGCATTTTATCCTTACTTAACAATCAAATGTAGAATAATATTCACATATAGAATATATTGTACAGTATACTGTAATATTAGGGTCAATTGAAAATATTTAACACTTATAAGCAAGGTCACATTATGAGCTTATTATATCAATACTCTCTATATTTTTCGGAATAATTTGTAATATGAGTCATTAATGTAAATTAATGCAATAGTATTATTAAAAGTACTTACTGTATTACATTTAATACTGCAAATACAATACTTTAATATAGATTAAAAAGATTGCAAAGTTCAATGCAATAACCTGCCAATTGTCTATATATAACAATTACGTATAAATTTATGCCTATTATGATCACAATTTTCATTTAATTCTCACACAATTTATTAGTTATTTTTAAAAATAATAAATAAAATTAATTATTTCTAGTATTCAAACTAATCGTGTATTTGATCAAAGTTTTATCCAAATTCACGGTAACCTGAAGTGAAAAGTACGACAAAAAGTGTTTATAACAACGATATTCATGTAGTGTTTGTTTACCGATAACTTTGTTTTCAACACAAAAAACTTTAATTTTATCGTAAATTCAATTGAAATCCGTTTAACAGTTAACAAGGTAATTATTTATTATAATTGTCACTTTAATACTGTGATAAACATTAGCATAAAAATAGTTTAAATGAAATGAATATAATTTTCTGAATGAATGTAGTTTTGAGTGAATTTGTGTTAATTATGATTAGATTTGTTGCTAATTATGGCAATTATGACACAATTTATGGCAATTTATTTGCAATCATTTGATTGCTTAACAAATCATTGTTTTATACATTGATTGCTATTATCACTAATATTATGCCACTTGTGGTCAATCACCACAATATCACTCAATTGTGTACTCAATTTACCCACCATTTCAATGATAACTAATTGTGTTAATTGCCGAAGATCTGGATCAATTGTCGGTGATGTGGGACACACCTAACCGGCGACACTACCGGCGCTCATACCGTACGGCTCCGCCCAAACTCATCCCATCCATCATCGCATGTCAGGCGTCCGTATGTCTCGTATTCTTCGGCATATTTCTGGTGATCGCCGGAAGTATCAGTCGATTCGTGGCCGGAGACGACACGCCGTCCTCTAAGGAGTTCGACACACCCTTCTTCAGACAGGTATACCTCAAGTGCACCACTAATTGATACGACAACTCATGTCTTGTAATGGTTGACAGCATCAGCAGGAGTTCGCCAAAGGACCCCGTCTTGTAGGTATGTGTCGGACTGTCATCTCATTCAGCACTTCAACTAATCCATGGTTTGGTCTCCATTTTAGGGACAATACTGTTGACAATCGGATCGTTGATGATAGTGATAGCTATCAGTGGATTCGTGGCCGCATTCTTCCTCTATCGCAGTTATGAGAGGGAGAGACGTCTGGCGATGATGTCTCAGCCCAACCCACACACCATTGCCAACCCGCAGACTGAGGGCCCGGTGCCCACCAGTGGCGTCGACTATCCCTATCCCACGCAAGTGGGCTACCAATACGGACCCGGATATCAAGCGGTGTCTCAGAATGTGGTCTATAACGCGACAACTGAGCCAAACGCGCCCACCATTTAGATGTGACCACTCACTAGTTAGGCCGTACCCATGCCTATGCCATACGTGCCATTGCGTGTACTAATCAAAGCATACATTTGTTTTTTATATGAATCTCAATAATTGTCTTCATTTCGGTTTTAATCAACGACTCTATAGTTGAAAAATGTTTGACTTTTAAAAGTGACGACTATTTTATTGACTACTTTTTATTATTTACATTCATTTAGTATTTTAATTATCAAATCAATGAATCTCAAAGTTCTCAAAGTTTTTATAATTTATTTTGTTATAAAAACGCACAAAATCTCAAATACCATATCAGTAGTTATTTTTAAAAAGCTTTAAATTTGACAAACTATTATATATTATAATTAGACAATAAAATCTTTTGAACATAATTCAATTGTGAAGTATTAATTCTAAGTTATATGTGTTTGTGTGTCAGTTTCAAAACAACACACCCTTAACACTAGTTTATGATCATGAGGGGAGTATGTCATTGGGTCTGTAATACAGACTGTAGTGATGATAGCCCTGAAATTCCGTACCATTCTTGTTGTGGCTATCATTTAAGTGGTAATTCGTTTAGTTTAAGCACTTTTTTAGTTTAATTTATATAAACAGATAATTTAATTTGAATCTTAATTCTGAATAAACTTTTTGAATAATATTGGAATTATTTAAAAAATAAATTCCACTCTTATAGCATAAATAGAGTGAATACCATATTTATGATTAGATTCCGTGTGAACCGAACAAATATCTGAACTCATGGATGGCTTCATATAATTGTTTTCTGAAGTAATAATTTCACTCAATTTCTAATCGTTGAATCTGTGGACACTTTGTGGACATAATCTGTGGACATAAATGCCATACAATTAGAGTCGAAGTACTCTTCACTCGATTCTCTTTTTAATCATTTTCTTAATGAGTTTCTCATCAATAGAGATGTCTTTGACAGTCGTATGGATGAAACTGTTTGGACACATTGGTGTGGGAATGTGTCCTCAAATGTGTGATAAGACAGCAATACTGCACACAAATCATCACATATTCTGTCGAATGAATTTATTTGAGACATGATTTCGATGTCAAACAAATAATAAGTAAAATTTCAAATTTATAATCATTTGATTTAAATTCAAATATAATTCATTACAAAACTAATGAGACTCATTGTTCTCATACTTGTTGACTAATTTGGTAAATAATATTTGACAAAAATTGTTTAAAACCTCAAAAATATAAATCATTTATTTGAATTACATGTTCTGTCTATACTGTAGAGGTGTATACATCTATACTGATGAACCCACTGATGATTATTATTCTTCGGAATCATTTGGTTTCTATGAGTGAATGGCCACCACTTCTCACTCATCTCAGGATATTTCCATCAAATGATATATTTTATGAGAGATTTGCAACATATCTACAGGCATTTCAACATTTCAATATCTTGATGATCATATGAATAACAATCGTTTGGAAGTCATCTCAAGACTACCACTCCTTAAGACACTTATAATCAGTGGGACAACCATTGAGTTCCGAAATAACATGGATGTGAACGTATTGGTCAAGAAGTGCCTAAAACTCATATCAATTAAATGATTATAGATTAATATTGTATATGTTTTCAAATAAATTCTTATACCTGTTAGTTATACTTTGTACAGAGCTGTTACTAAACACCTATACAATTTGGGCACCCTGAATTATTTTTTGATGATTCCTTTTCTAATTTGTAGAGGAAGAGTTAGATTTTTACTTGATATAAAATTTGTCCAGATTATATTTGTAGAAAAACTTTTATAATGAATTATTTTTCTATGTAAAAATCGTTTTCTATGTAATAATGCTTCAAAATAACCAAAAAAATTCTACGGCTCTTGAAAAAAAGAGATCATAAAGTTGTTTCTACAAACATGATCTAGACAAATTATATATCAAATAAAAATCTAACTCTTCCTCTACAAATTAGAAAAGGAATCATCAAAAAATAATTCAGGGTGTCCAAATACCAAGCCTCCCAAATTGTATAGGTGTTTAGTAACAACCCTGTATGTACAGTATTAATAATAATGTACAATAATTATTATTATTTGATAATACATTTTAAGAATATTAAAACTTTATATTTGAAAACATTCCTCAAACTAATGGATAACTTTATGCCATGTCATATGATTTTTGTATTATTTTTAAGTCTCATTCCTGTAAATTACTTATGATACACAACTATATAACTGTATAAAAAGTTACATAGATTATATAAATAATTTTATATTAATCATTTGGTGTGACGTTTTCTGATGTTTAGAACTTTGAGTAAATATTTGATTTGAATTTTAAATTGACACTTATTTAAAATAAGTTAAACTTATTTTATTAAACATTTTGACAGATTTTCAGGAATAATATACCGTACACATACAGTACCTGTACAGGGTATGTTTGAAGAGTTGATAAGCAAGATATTTGCAGTTATTCTCAGATATTTCGTGAGTTTTGGCTAAAATTCCGTCTCATTTCTCATACACTTTTTAATTTAAAGTCTAAATCCTTTTTGAATGTTTATCTATCAAATGATAAGAATTCATTGACAAAGTTTTATATTTATTATCAAATAATTTATGCTAAAGAGATATATTTTGCGCCATAATTAGTGCATAAATTAAAACATATTAATATTTAACTGTATGATAATTTATGATTAATAGTGTTCAATGTAAATAACTATCATTAAATCACATTTTCATTTACTAAAGTATATAATTATAATAATTGGCTTGAATTATGTCTCATTAACACACATCACCAGAAGAATGCCTGCGTTTAAGACTTTGTATCGGTAATAATAACACAATTAAATAATTTCTTAAACTTAATATTTTTAAAATTTTGTATGAATTGTATAGAAAGCGGACAATATTCCTGTTCATATCGGTCTCACTATTCGTCATTTGTCTCATAGTTTTTGTCAATTTTGTGAACAATTACATAAAGAATGACTATTTAGGAGACTATCACTCGGAATCTCATTTAGGGGTATATAATAGATATGCCGTCTCTACCGACTCATCCCAGTGCGCACACATAGGCAAGTATGTATCACTCAATTTAGATTATTTTATAGTGAATTAACTTATTTTGACATTAATTTCAGACAAATTCTAGACTCAAACGGAACGGCAGCCGACGCGGCCATTGCAGTGCTGCTATGTATGGGCGTAACTATACCCCACTCCATGGGCTTAGGAGGCGGTTGTCTTATTTTAGTCTACAACTCGACCACAAAACAGACGGTTGCCATCGATGCCAGGGAGGAGGCGCCCAAAGAGTCGCACAGAGACCTCTTCGCCAACATAAGCGGCGACCGCAGACTTCCACTCTCTATAGGAGTTCCCGGAGAACTGGCCGGTTATTGGGAACTACACCAGAGGTTTGGGCGACTCAAGTGGTCACAGCTTTTCAATGGTGCCATTGAATTAAGTAGAAATGGATTTTATGTTTGCAATCATTTGGATAATGCCCTCAAATATATGAGTAGACATATAAATAATAAGTTCTCAACTCTTCGGTAATTGAATATTTTATAAATAATAGATAAAATACTTAATTTTGTCATTTGTAGCAAATTATTTATAGATCCAGATACTAATGAATGCTATAAACGGGGACATAAAATGAGCAATGAGAAATTGGCGCAAACCCTAGAAAGATTGGCTGACAGTTCAGATCCTATTGAATTGTTTTATGGAGAAATCGCTAAAGATATTATCAAAGATATTCAAGAATTCACTGATAAATCCAATTTGACATGTGAGTCGAGATTTGAATAAAAGTATTACTTTTTAAAAATAACTCCTTTTTAAATATATAGCAATAATAACATTAGAAGATTTCCAGGAATATAAGCCCAAAACTAATTTAATTGCCGTTAAAACTCATCTGAAGAGATGGAACTACACGTTACACTCGTTCCCATTGCCAGGAAGTGGAGATTTGTTGGCATTTATGTTGAAAGTGATGGAGCAGTACGAGGACGATATGAACCACAAGACCGGCAAATCACTGAACAAAACCACACTTTTCTACCACAGACTCATCGAGACATTCAAATTCGCTTTTAGTCGACGAACACTTCTGGAAGAGGACACCGATTACGACAACCCTTTTGTCAAACAATTGACTTCCGATGAGTTCGCCAAAAAAATAAAGGAATTAATCGACGACTCAAAGACTTTTCCCATAAAATCTGGAAAATATGGAAACAATATTCATATCACTGAAGATAAGGGAACGGCTCACGTGTCGGTCATCGACGGTAAGGGTAATGCCGTATCAATCAGCACAACCATCAATTCATAGTAAGAATATATTGTAGTATACAATCATAACTAATACTTGA